CTACTTTCCTCCTGGGAGGTCATTTTCACCACAATAAGTTCAGGGACGACTTTCATAGCCTAAGATCCTACTCACACGCCGGGATGGAACGTACACCAACGTTCAGCTTCTAATGTACACACCGACGGCGGGGCTTGTTTTACAACGTCGTTGCCAAGTGACGAAAACCCAACCCCGATGGCAAACACCGGGGGGGGGCACCATTCATCGTTACCGCAAAAAAAAAAAGCGGTAACCTCGTTGATGAGCTCACGGAGTGATGGACTTGTTTTACAATATCGCTGCCAAGCGACGAAAACCCAACACCGTGGGCAAACACTGGGGGGGACGGGGACGGGGGGGGTGTACTCATAGTCGTGCATGCCGTAGTCGTTAGACCATTGACCTCGCATCCCGGCAAAGCCGGGCCGGAGCACGCCGGGTTCTCACCGGACCAGGCTCTCACATCACAAAGCGCGAAGCGCCGTGAGGTATTCGGCGCGTCGCATGAACGGTGCGCTGCATCCTGCTAAGGGTGTTCGGCATCTTGTGCTTACTTCCTTGCATACGGATGACAGCTGCGTATGACTTAATTTATTTTCTGGTGCTTCAAACTCCCAGAGACAGTTAAAAGCACTGTGTGACTGCCTCGAGGGTGCTTGACCATTTTAACACAACGTGGTGCGATCATCCCCTTTGCGCGGAGTGAGGCTTCTCAACCCCGAACAACCTAAGCTACTTGACCAGCATTCATGGATACCGCAAAGGAAAAAAATCAGAAAAAAAAAACAGAAAAAAAAAACGATAACCTGGTTGCCGAGCTCACGAAGTGAATTGGCTTGTTTTACAACGTCGTTGCCAAGCGACGAAAACCCACCCNGGGGGGGGGGGGGGGGGGGGGACGGGGGGACGGGGGGACGTACGCTTTTTTGCATGCCTTAGCGGTGAGACCACTGACCACGCTTCCGGAGGGTTGTTTACAGAGGACCCATCACCGATGATGGCTACTCTTTCCTTCCTACTTCGCCAAAGGTGGCTCAAAAAATGTTTTCATTAGCCTACCCACCGCAGGTGACATGATACAAGATACCGCGCGCCCTGGACCTATCTTCAAAGCTCGGTCAGGCAACGACGAAGAGGACGCCAACATCAAACGATATGTTTTCCGGAAGGATTTCGATGAGACGGTTGCGATGCCACCAGACGCCTGCGGAGTAATCAACCTTTGAAAATCGGTCCAGGGTGCGCGGTATCTCGTGTCAATACGGCATCCATCCTTTCGATGTCACTGGGCTTTCAACTGTCTGACTTTCCTTTTCCTGCCACGGTGCCGCCTGGAGCGCGTGTGGCCCTGTCGCTACTCCTCACACAGGTACCTTCCTCAACCCCCACCTCTACAGCTTTAGTCGCCGTCAGCATGCGTGTCACGATCAAAACCAATTCCATCTCAACAACGGG